CCCAGCAGCCCGCAGGCCATTACAACCTAGTATCCATCCGAATGTATACTAGTATGTCAATAGGAACCAGTAAGGAAAGTAGTAAAGTCGGAAGTAGTAAAGTCATATATTCAACAGATGAATCCTAACAGACGTTGAAGGACCATTAACACGAAAATGAATCGATAACCATGTCATTCTGCAACCTATACTAAATTTTTCATTTGGTTAGATATGGGGTTGCTTCTTACAAAGGGACAAAATTATGTAAATCAAAATTACGCGTCTGAATTGGATGGCTTTGTGTTGCACACGATCTGATGGATAAAATGGAAGGCATTACGCCAAAACAATTAGGAATTGTTTAAAAGTTCACAAGGCTAGACACTTCCGAACAATATCCCACAATAATTTTTTTAATTTATTGACGTTTACAGTTCTAATGTAAATTTCGGTTTATTGTTTTAATGAATTTTATGATTTACTTAATGTATGCATTATTTTTTTATCATAATCATGTTTTGAGAATAAAAGTGCTGAAATTTTAGTTCCAATCATCCCATTATAAATCCTAATAGGATAATATTAATATCCATCCGATCTTCGCTTACAATCTTGGTAGAGTCGGACCCATCCGACCTTCGCTTACAATGTTGGTGGATTCGCATGCATCTTACATTTGCTTACATTGTCGGTCGATTTTGGACCCATATGACGGCCTAGGCCATCGCTATGTAATTGTAAGTTAAAATTGTATCCAGGGGGGTTACTCTGTATTGCGATGCGTGAGAAAAAATTTGTAACGCATCGCGTAATTGGTACTCTCTAGTTCGTTTTCGTATCTCCTTTCGCATCTACTTTACGCAAATGTGGCATCACCGCACTCTGTAATACGAAAACGCATGTCAAACTCGTTCGTTAAGCGCAAATATTTTGCGTTAACAAAATAGCAAACCCAGAGGAAGCGAAACATATAAGTAAGCTCACATAAAGGTTTTATTTATATATAAATTGTAAATTTTGTAAAAGGCAAAAAAGTCACAGTTGCAGACTCAGCAACGTCAGTTCCTAACTTCAGTAGATTTTATAGGGCAACACCGTGATTTGGCAAAGGGACAGTTGCAGAGTTCAAATGCGAAACAACGCGCCAACAATTTGTGGACAAAACTGTCAGATGACCTCAATTCAAATTGACCTCTTGCAAAAGGTGTCGGTGGATGGAAAAAGTTATGTATTATATTTTTTATATATAATGTGAAACTATGTGTGCATATATACAGGTTGGTGTTGAAAGCCACCTTGTCCAAGCAATTTTAAAGCAGCGGCCTCTTTTATTGGAGTTGGAATTGTTGTGGATTTACAGTATTTTTCGGTTAATTGCACATCAAAATTTGCACAAATTTTTGTTCAATTAACCGAGGAACCAATTATCCGAACCCACTTACTATGAAATGAAATATTTTTGACCCATCATGTGGTTCAATTAAGCGTGGAAACCAATTAACCGTAGGGTCAATTAACCGAAAAATACTGTATTTGGAACAACGAGCGTTTAATAAATACATAAAGTGGGCCACACACGTCAAACATGTGCGTTCGATCGGTGTGAAGCTGCTAGCCCACACACGTCAAACGGATCCACAAAACTTTATTTCGTATTTATTTTTTGAAGCGTGAAGATGGTCAACGATAGTGATGACGGAAAAAAGACCAAATATTTTTATTTAATATAAATTTATTAAATAATTTTATTTCATTCCGGGAACATATATTTACTTCCCAAAATGTACAATATGTGTAAAAAAACATCAAAAAATTATTTCAAAACATTTTTTTGCACATTTGTGACATTGTCCGCTGATCCGTACTCCACGAAATTTCATAACAAATGAGAAAATATCCACACACCAGACCACAGACGTCAAACATGTGCGCGTCGCACAACGAAAAATTAAAAATTTTTAATTTCTTTCGATCGGTGTGCGCACCGGCAAATCGGTGTGAACACCATACCACACACGTCAAACATTCACCCCTATTCCGTATGTCGTCGTCGTTGTCGACGACGTTTCTCTTTCGACATCACTTCGCATCGACATCGACATCACTTCGACACTGATTTGGTATTCTGTAACACTCATGCGACGATGTCGACTATTTATCGATAATATCAATAAAAACAAAAAAATTGTTGCATATTTTTGGGCAAAAATGAGTTTGTATCCGTCACCTCACTGTGGCACAGGGTAAATGTGTCTGCAATGACCAAAAAGAAACGAGATAGACCCATAGTTTCTTTTTATTATATATGTACATAGAATTATTTTTCAGTCGATTTATGCATGTCCCTCCATCCATGTATTATTTTAAACAAGTTACATGCCACCATTATGATCCGAATGGGATGAAATTTTATTTGGCGCATAGACGATTCCTGTTGATATTGGTCAAAATCGGTACAGATTTATATATAGATCCCATATATTTTTCTTTATTTACACTTTATTTTGCATTAAGTATTGAATAGATTCTAGAATGATGTATCATGTTCTTGTCCAGTCATGTTTTTTTTTAATTTCTAAAAAAAAATGTTCAAACGCTTCAGTCGTCAACAAAAGCTATGACGAAGAAATCTTCGACATCGTCGTCGTCACACATTGTTACGGAATACCAAAAATGTTTCAATAGTTATCGATAAATGTCGACAACGACATAGGGAATAGGGGTGATTGCTTCGATTCACACCGATCGAACGCACATGTTTGACGTGTGTGGGCCACTTAAACGAATCTTTATTGAGACGAACATTTTGTATAAATCTATAAAAATTAAATATTTGAAAACGTTTGTCACATAATTCGTACTTCTATTTTCATACCCGTGGTCACTTAGGGAGAGTATATTTGATCGATCTCATAAAATTATTTTTTTTTTTTTAATTCGTTCGTCATTTTTGTTTAAATAAAAAAAAACACGTAGCACACAAAAATATGTTTTCTTTTACAATTTTTTGACGTTTCCTTTTGTCATTCTTCGTTATTGTTTACTTTGCGGCGACAGTGTTGCCCTATTTTCGATTTAGTTTGTGAATGCGTTTGCTTGAGCGTTACAGAGTACCAAATTGTAATCTTAAGGGAACCCCACGCATTCTCGATTTTAATTTTTCAAGATTTTCAATGGGCTGGCAAATCAATACCAATGCTTGTTAAGGTTTGTAACTTTGCACATATATATTTGAAGATTTAAAAAAGAAGAAAAATAATTTACAAAAAATTTTTGTTGTTGCTTTGTTGTTGTTTTTTTGTAATTAAAGAAAAGTCGTTATTTTTTATGGCGGGCATGATAACTCCTCACTGGATCATCGGAATCCGAAAATTCCAACGGTGTAAGAAAGAGTACATGTCTGGCTCTCGTATCAACTAGGATTATTGACTTTGCTCTAAAATTAACAAAATGGCGGACCTTTGAAAAAATATTTTTGAAAAATCCCGAATTTTGACCAAAAAGTTTGAGAAACCCTTTAGCCGTCACTTGATGCTGACACAATAATTTGGCTATATCTTCAAGAGTTCTTGAGATTTTCACTTGAAATTTTGTAGAGACATTCTTGAATTAGTGTAGAATCGAATTTAATCAAAAAAATTTTACCCCGAGAATGGGGTCCCCTTAATGCATTTAGCTTTCGCATCGCACTTGCTTTCGCAACGCAATACAGAGTAACCCCCCAGGCTTCGGATGGATCGCTGCTACATTGTATTTTGTATCAGTTGGAAGATGTATGAGCAAAAAAAAAACCGCATAATCGCAATATATAGGCATGGTTAAAATATTAGGTTAGTGATGAGAGGAGTGTCATTTATAAATCGACTCCAAATTGTCTGAAACGGATTTGGCCCAATGAATCATGGGGTCTAATACCAATATTTCGATGATTATTTTAGGAGTCCATGACATATTCTTCTACGAGTAGTAACCAGAATACAAATAGGTTTTTTTAACCAAAAAAACTTGAATTCAAAAAATAAAACACATTCATTTGTATTAAATATTATTTGTTGTTTTTTTCTATATTTTTCTTTATAATACACCATTATAATTTTTATTGTATCTATGTTCGCTTGTTGGTATGTGTACATAAATATTTACTAATTTTTCTTTTTGTTTATAATTAAATTAAAATATATGTATATATTTACAAATAAACATTTAATGCTTACAGCGAAAGAAATAAGTAATTAAAGGAAACTAAAACATATACAAATAGTATTTATAGCATTATTTTTCCAAATAATAGAAATAAAAATGTTTATAGATATAATACAAGCAACAAAAAATAATAATATAGTAAATATACAAATTTGTTTTATATAAATTACAGAATTTTTGTTATATGCATTTTTTGTTGTTTTTAGCTTTTTTAGTTCAACTAAAATCAATAACTAATAATATCACAAATAGAAGGAATTAATACATAACAGTTTTGTTTTTTGTTTTGATTTGATTTTATAGCAAAGCCATTATTATAGAAAAATGAGAGAAGAATACACTTTTCATTAAATAAATATAAGATATATATTAAAGAGAGTTACATAGTTTTTTTATAATTAAATTTTAATTTTTTATTTTAATTTTTATAAAGCAAATTATATTTGTCGCCAAATTTGTTTTATAATAAAGCTGAAATTTGTCTTGCAAACATAATATGTATGCCTTAGAGACAAACTAAATATACATATAATTTTGTATATACAATTTATATATCATTTTTCTAATATAATAATAATAAAAAACCATAAAAATAAAAATATACTTGTAATGACTAAAACATGTGAGTGATTTTCTTTCGATTTCGTTTGATTTGTTTTGTTGTTTTCCTCTCTGGAACATCTATTGCCTGGAACAGATTTCATTACCTATTAAAAAGGGGTGGGGGTGTTCTTTCCGTCTTTCCCATTTGGAATTATTAAAGGCACTTTTGGTATGTCATTTTATTTTACAAAAAATGTTTCTTTTGTGGGCCTTCAATTATAATTACTGGGATTGGTGATTTTCGCCGCATACATATTGGCCACTTTATAGATAAATTCGTATTGTTCCTTGGTTAGCACAGCACTGGCCCGACCTCGCCTAACATAGTAGACAATGTGCGGTATATCGACGGTACGTTTTGGTGTCTCCAGACTACGTATGGCAATATCACAGGCAATAATTGTACCCGTTCGACCAGTACCTGGAGAGCAGTGGACAGTTAGGGGACTAAAAAAATGAAAGAAGAAGAAATACAAGAAAAAACACATAAATATCATGCAAAACAACAAGAACAACAACGGGACATACACAAATTTGTATACAAATAAATACAAAATAAAATATGTGAGATTGTGATAAGGTGGAAGAGATTTTGAAATGTTCAGCTCCTAAAAGTATGCTTTGATTTTTGTTTTAATTTTTTTGGAGGACTATAAGCTGAGGATACAAACACAAAAATTCAAACAATTTAAATTTTCGTTCCACTTCATCCCAAAATTATTATCTGATCATAATTACCGAAAATTATAGGCGTTTTCCTTTGCCATAGCTGGAACCTCATGGAAAATTTAAAAGCGATCAGCGCTATATTACCAACCACTAGTGTGATAATGGGTTACTAAAAAACATCTGAATACGTATGGCCCTCTAAATATTTAAGTGTAACTCCCACATATGAGAACATACCACAACCACTCCTCTTGGATATACTATCAACTTCTAGGGTCTATGTCGTTCGGGAGTTAATATATACGCCATAGAATACAAATTCATTTGACCCGCTAAATATTGACCGATCTTTATCAAAACGGGCATGCTCAGTCTATGGCCCGATCCCCTACTCCATGTAAAATTTCATGATGTTCGGGCCATAATTGCGGCCTCTGGAGCGACCAGAAAAACCGACAAAAATTTAGTATTTGGTCCATTTCATCCCCTAAATATTAACCGATCTTTACCAAAAACAATAGGCGTCTTCATTGACCAGCAGCCTACATATAAAGATCTGTGGCCTGTATAGTGTTTACAAATTATAATGGACAGACGGACGGCGGACGAGCGGACACACATGTCTAGATAGACTCAGCTAGTTGAGGTATGACGATGGGTATACTTGATGGTGGGTCTAGGACCAATATTTCGCGGCGTTACAAACACTTGGGGCTGCACAAAGCTATAATACCCTGACAACATAGTTGTGTAGAGTATAAAAATCTACGCCTTGTAACAAAACATTTAAAAAAATCTACGCCTTGTAACAAAACATTTTAAAAAAATCTACGCCTTGAAAAAATATTTTTAAAAATATCTACGTCTTGAAAAAATATTCTTAAAAAATCTTCGCCTTCAAAAAATATTTTTAAAAAATCTACGCAGTCCTTGAAAAAATATTTTTAAAAAATCTACGCCTTAAAACAATATTTTTAAAACATCTACGCCTTAAAAAAATATTCTTAAAAAATCTACGCTTTGAAAAAAATATTTTTAAAAAATCTAAGCCTTGAAAAAATCTTTTTAAAAAATCTAAGCCTTGAAAAAGTATTTTTAAAAAAATCTACGGCTTGAAAAAGTATTAAAAAAAAATCTACGCGTTCTGAGAATATTTTTAAAAAAATCTACGCCTTCTGAGAACATTTTTAAAAAATCTACTCCTTTAAAAAATATTTTTAAAAAATCTACGTAGTCCTTGAAAAAATATTTTTAAAAAATCTACGCAGTCCTTGAAAAAATATTTTTAAAAAATCTACGCAGTCCTTGAAAAAATATTTTTAAAAAATTTTCGCCTTAAAAATATATTTTTAAAAAATCTACGCCTTGAAAAAATATTTTTAAAATTCTACGCCTTGAAAAAATATTTTTAAAAAATCTGAGCCTTGAAAAAATATTTGTAAAAAATCTGCGCCTTGAAAAAAAATTTCAAAAATCTACGCCTTGAAAAAAAAAAATTTTAAAAAATCTACGCCTTAAAAAATATTTTTAAATAATCTACGCCTTGAAAAAATATTTTTTAAAAAATTTACGCCTTGAAAAAATATTTGTAAATAAAATCTACGCCTTGAAAAAATATTTGTAAAAAATCTACGCTTTGAAAAAATATTTGTAAAAAATCTACGCCTTGAAAAAATATTTGTAAAAAATCTACGCCTTGAAAAAATATTTTTAAAAAATCTACGCCTTGAAAAAATATTTTTAAAAATTTATGTCTTGAAAAAATATTTTTTAAAAATCTACGCCTTGAAAAAATAAGTCTAAACAATCTGCGCAAAAGAATTTTAAAAAATCTACGCCTTGAAAAAAATATTCTTTAAAAAATCTACGCCTTGACTATTTCTAAAAAAAAATACTCTTAAAAAATCTAAGCCTTGAAAATATTCTTAAAAAAATCTAAGCCTTGAATAGGCCTGAAAAAATATTCTTAAAAAATCTTCGCCTTGAAAAAATATTTTTAAAAAATCTACGCCTTGAAAAAATATTTTTAAAAAATCTACGCAGTCCTTGAAAAAATATTTTTAAAAAATCTACGCCTTGAAAAAATATTTTTAAAAAATCTACGCCTTGAAAAAATATTTTTAAAAAATCTACGCCTTGAAAAAATATTTTTAAAAAATCTACGCCTTGAAAAAATATTTTTAAAAAATCTACGCCTTGAAAAAATATTTTTAAAAAAATCTACGCATTTGAAAAATATTTTTAAAAAATCTACGCCTTGAAAAAATATTTTTAAAAAATCTACGCCTTGAAAAATATTTTTAAAAAATCTACGCCGTGAAAAAATATTTTTTATAAAAATCTACGCCTTGAAAAAATATTTTTTATAAAAATCTTCACCTTGAACAAATATTTTTCAAAAATCTTCACCTTGAACAAATATTTTTAAAAAAAATGTACGTCTTAAAAAATATTTTTAAAAAATCTACGGCTTGAAAAACACTACGCATTCAAAAAATATTTTTTTAAAAATCTACGTCTTGAAAAACACTACGCATTCAAAAAATATTTTTAAAAAATCTACGTCTTGAAAACCACTAGGCATTCAAAAAGTATTTTTAAAAAATCTACGTCTTAAAAAACACTACGCACTCAAAAAATATTTTTAAAAAATCTACGTCTTGAAAAACACTACGCCTTCAAAAAAATATTTTTAAAAATCTAAGCCTTGAAAAAATATTTTTAAAAAATCTACGCCTTAAAAAAATATTTGTAGAAAAACTACGCCTTGAAAAAATATTTTTAAAAAATCTTCGCATGGGAAAAATATTTTTAAAAAATTTACTCCTTGAAAAAATATTTTTAAAAAATCTTCGCCTTCGTCGTTAAACCATCTGCGCCTGTTAATGGTCTTAAAATAAATCAAGTCATATTTTCTATATTTTGAAGGATTAAAAAATATTTGAAAAAAATCCTTAGGGTTAAAGAGGGTTTTTAAATATCCATATATGGATAGAAGGAATATAGACATTTTTCTAGAGTTTTTATAGTGACAAGAACATTTATCAAGTCATTAATGAATATGGGACTGTTTTTCTTTAACTCCTAAAAGTATGCTTTCATTTTTAATCATTTATTTAGTCTATAAATGAGACAAGAAAATGCATTTCTAAATTATGGCCCCCATTTTAATATTCAATGTATGGCGCCTGAAAGTATGCTTACTTTTTAAACAATCAAAAATTATCAAATGGTAGAAACATCAAGGCCAAAGGATATCTACCTCCAAATGGCCTTTTTCACTTTCACCTTATCACAATGGTATAATTCATGAAATGAAATCAGGAGGTTTAAAAAACCGCTCCCTCTCTTTTGATGAATAACAATCTGTCTCCGAACAAAAAAAAAAAAAAAAAAAAGGAAAACAAAAACTTTTCTCACTTACCCCTGATTTCTGGCAGTCTTTTTAATTGGCACCATTGAAATGTTACCATTTATTTCAGCATTACTGCTACCATTCGAATTTGTTCCATTCTTACCGGCCGTACCCTCTTCCGCAGATCTCAAGGTATTCGTAGACGCACTATTGTTCAAGGTAGAACTCTTTTCTTTTTCTTCATTAGCCTGTTCGTTGGCATAACTAATGAGAGAAGATCGAGCCTCCAATAGCATAGCTATAATGGGTGCCTCTTCTGCGGGAACTCCCGTTTCAGGCCATTTATACCAATAATGTGTCAACTCCCGGCTTGCATTATTTTCAGCTGTATTTTTCAGTACGATTGTTGAAATGGCATATTTATCTTTGACTTCACGATTTTGTAGTGTCACCTGGAAATCACCAAAACTGGCATGATTGTCCAGTGTCACCGAGGGTGGTAAATATTCGGCACACTTTTCGACACCATTTTCAATGAGATCGGTTGCTTGAATGATTACGCGGGATTGTTGTTCCCATATCATGCGCCAGAAATCTTCCACGGTGGTCTCCAATGGTGCCTGGCAGGCGATATAATAATTGGGAGAATCTTTGGGACCCTGTAAAAAGAGAGAAAAAGAGACAGGTTATTATTTTTCAAATATTTCAGGTTTATCAATGGCGAAAAAAACTAATTTAATTAATTAATAATTATTTATTGTTGTTATGTGATTGTCGCTGTTGTTTTTTTTTTCTGACTAACGACTGGATGACTAAGCCCATGTGATACCTGGCTGTTATAAATTTAATCTTTTTTGGGAATAATGTGTTGGCTCTCATTATTATATTACACACTGTGGCATATTTGAATAGGTATTAGTGTTTTGAATAAATATTCAAAGAAAAATATTATTATGAAAAAAAATTTTCAAGGATAGATTTTTTTAAAGTAATTTTCTAAGGACTATCAAAGGTGAAGATTCTTTTTAAATATTTTATCAACAACTATCAACAGGACTACAACAGGCGTAGATTTTTCAAACACATGCCAAATTTCGTGCAAATCGAAAGATATATAGAGACTTTGGTACACTATATATGGGAGCTATATCTAAATATGAACCGATTTTCACTAAACTTTGCACACATCATTCTAGATTTAAATCAGTACGCTATGCCAAATTTCGTGCAAATCGAAAGATATATAGAGACTTTGGTACACTATTTACATTAAATCGGACGAAAATATATATGGGAGCTATATTTATATCTGTACCGATTTTCAGGAAACTTTGCACACATCATTCTAGAATTAATTCAGTACGCTATGCCAAATTTCGTGCAAATCAAAAAATATATAGGGACTTTGGTACACCATTTACCATAAATCGGACGAAGATATATATGGGAGCTATATCTAAATCAGGACCGATTTTCACGAAACGTTGCACACATCAATCTAGACTTAATTCAGTACGCTATGCCAAATTTCGTGCAAATCGAAATATATATAGGGACTGTGGTGTATCAATTACATAAAATCGGACGAAAATATATATGGGAGCTATATCTAAATTTGAACCGATTTTCACGAAACATAGCACACGTCATTCTAGACATATTTCAGTACGCTATGCCAAATTTCGTGCAAATCGAAACATATATAGGGTCTTTGATGCAACAATTACCATAAATCGGATGAAAATATATATGGGAGCTATATCTAAATATAAACCGATTTTGACTAAACTTAACACATATCATTCTAGACCTAATTCATTACGCTATGCCAAATTTCGTTGAAATCGAAAGATATATAGGGACTTTGGTACACCATTAACCTTAAATCGGACGATGATATATATAGGAGCTATATCTAAATCTGAACCGATTTTCACTAAACTTAACACATATCATTCTAGACCTAATTCATTACGCTATGCCAAATTTCGTGCAAATCGAAACATATATAGGGTCTTTGATGCAACAATTATCTTAAATCGGATGAAAATATATATGGGAGCTATATCTATATCTGGACCGATTTTCACTAAACTTAACACACATCATTCTAGACCTAATTCATTACGCTATGCCTAATTTTCGTGGAAATCGAAAGATATTTAGGGTCTTTGATGCAACAATTACCTTAAATCGGATGAAAATATATATGGGAGCTATATCTAAATCTGAACCGATTTTCACGAAACTTTGCACACATCATTTTAGACTTAATTCAGTACGCTATGCCAAATTTCGTGCAAATCAAAAAAATATGTAGGGACTTTCGTACACCATTTACCTTAAATCGGACGAAGATATATATGGGAGCTATATCTAAATCTGAACCGATTTTCACGAAACTTAACACATATCATTCTAGACCTAATTTATTACGCTATGCCAAATTTCGTGCAAATCGATATATATAGGGACTTTGGTACACCATTTACCTTAAATCGGACGAAGATATATATGGGAGCTATATCGAAATCTGAACCGATTTTCAAAAAAAAAAAAAAAAAAATTAATACGGTTCGTCCTTGGGCCAAACTAATGAGCTGTGCCAAATTTCATCAAATTCGGATTATAAATGCTACCTGTACTTTACAATTTAACATGGACAGTCGGACGGACATGCATAAATTGACTCAAAAAGGGATTCTATGCATATTCTCAAAAGGAACCATGGGTCTATCTCGATTATTTTTGCCTGTTACAAACATATGCACAAATACATAATACCCTGTGCCACAGTGTGTGAAGAGTATAATTATTAAAAAAAAACATAAACGCTTTGGGGAATGGTTTTCTTATTCTAACCTTGTAATAAATAACACAAATGAGCAAAAATCCCAATTGATGTGGCGCCTTTAGCATTTACATCATTTTGTAATTTATTTAATTCAATTCTAAAAACAAAAAATTACAATGGAAAAATAATTAAATTTTCTACAACAAAAATGTCACTGCACCCAGTTTAAAACACAAACAACAAAATGAACATTTTTTTTGTTTTTCCATATATGTCGATATCTCTTTTGTTCTTCGATACGTCCGACGATGTTGTTGCTCATCTTCGAAATGTGATAAACGGAGACAATGAATCTTGAGTGACGACAACAGCAACAACAACAACAACAAATATGCAAAAGCCCACACATCCTCAGACATGAAAACGCTTTGTTTTTTTGTATTTTGTTTATTTCAGAATTATCGCTGTTGTCGTTGTTGTTTTAATTGTAAAAAAATTCTCATGAAAGAGGTTTCACTTGATTAATAATTATTTTAGAACACGTTCTTGAATAATGAATGATGGTGAGAGGTAGGCAGAACAGTGGCTGGGAATTGAAAAATAATTATAATATATATATATATATATATAAATTATTTTTCGATTCCATCCCATATATATATATATATATATATATAAATTATTTTTCGATTCCATCCCACTGTGCAGTATTATATTTTATATATTTACGCCCTACACAAATATGTTGTCAGGGTATTATAGCTTTGTCCAGTCCCAGGAGTTTGTAATGTCGCGAAATATTGGCACTAGACCCACCTTTTAGTATACCAATATCGACAAGCTGAGTCGATCTAGACATGTGTGTCCGTCCGTCCATTATAATTTGTAAACACAATACAGGCCACAGTTTTCAACCAATCTTCACGAAATTTTGCTTGTAGGATGGGTTCTGGCCAATGAAGACCCCTTTTTGGTAAAGATCGGTTAATATATAGGGGATGAAATGGACCAAAAACATTACTTTTGTCTGATTTTATGGTCGCTCCAGAGGCCGCAATTATGACCCAAACATCGCGAATTTTTACATGGAGAAGGTGATAGGGCTAAAGTATAAGCATGCCTGTTTTGATGAAGATCGGTCCATATTTAGCGGGTCAAATGGCTTTTGTGTGAAAAATGACAAAATTGGTATTCTATAGCGTATATAGATTTACCCCTGAAGGACATAGAGCCAAGAAGTTTATAATATATCCAAGAGGAGTGGTTGACCTTTAAATTGATACCAATTATATTGTCGTATGTACTCAGATGTTGGAGTTACACTTAAATATTTACAGGTTCTTACGTATTCAGATATTATTTAGTAACCCATTACCACACTAGAGGGCGGAAATATAGCGCAGATCGCTTTGGTCAAGGACAACGCCTATAATTTTCGGTGATGATCAGATAATAATATTGGGTTAAAGTGGACCGAAAACTTAATTTTTAATGTTCGATCTTGAGTCGATCTTGAATTTTTAAAATAATATTTTAAAGGATAAGCTTGATTTTTTGATAATATTTTTCAAGGACCAACCGACCAATACGGAAACGTGATATACACATAGTTCCTTTTGAGAATATGCATAGAATCACTTTCTGAGTCGATTTACGCATGTCCGTCTGACCGTCCGTACGTCTTTCCGTCCATGTATTTTTGTGAACAAAGTACAGGTCGCATTTATGATCCGAATTGGATGAAATTTTGCCCATGTCACTTATTTGGTCCAAGGACGAACCCTATTGAAAGTGGGAAAAATCAGTTCAGATTTATATATAGCTTCCATATATATTTTCGTCCGATTTAATGTAAATGGTGCACCAAAGTCCCTATATATATATCTTTCGATTTGCACGAAATTTGGCACAGTGTAATGAATTAGGTCTAGAATGATGTGTGTTAAGTTTCCTAAAAATCGGTTCAGATTTAGATATAGCTCCCATATATATTTTCGTCCGATTAATTGTAAATGGTCCACCAAAGTCCCTGCGTATATCTCGATTTGCACGAAATTTGGCACACCGTAATAAATTAGGTATAGAATGATGTGTGTAAAGTTTCCTCAAAAATCGGTTCAGATTTATATATAGGTCCCATATATATCTTCGTCCGATTTAATGTAAATGGTACACTAAAGACCCTATATATATCTCGATTTGCACGAAATTTGGCACAGTGTAATGAATTAGGTCTAGAATGATGTGTCTAAAGTTTCTTGAAAATCGGTTCAGATTTATATATAGCTTCCATATATATTTTCGTCCGATTTAATGTAAATGGTGCACCAAAGTCCCTATATATATCCCAATATCTCTTTCGATTTGCACGAAATTTGGCACAGCGTAATGAATTAGGTATAGAATGATGTGTGTTATGTTTCCTGAAAATCGGTTTAGACGATTTAGAAACGATTTTTAAATTGTGTTTTTCAAGGCCCAGTAGAGCTATAAGCGTGGATTTTAGAAATTATATTTTTCAAGGGCCAACCGAGTATTTATCACGAACCAGCATACCTTAAGGAGTGAATATTTTAAATAATCAGTAAGTGTTTATTGTCTAAATTCGAATTTTCGAAAGTTTAAGAAATCCATAAGTGTCTATAGTTGAAATTTTTAGGACCATTTAACCAATGCATTTTTCATTTTTTTTTAAGAGCGGGTTTTTTTGATTTATAATTTTTCAAAGATTTGTTAACCTATATTTTTCAAGTACCATCAGACCAATAAATGTGGATTTTTGATTAATTTTATTTCTTCGAGAGACTTCCGATTTTTTTCTATATGAAAAAATACCTCACTGAGGCCTCCGAAAAAAGTGCTTTC